GCTTCATACATAGCCTGCAGAATATGATATTCAACCAACTCATAAAATTTTAATTGATGAAATAATATATTAGATGGGTGATAGTAATGCTTTCTTATGATAATTCTTATGGCTCTTTATTGTAAAAATAAAAAAATAAGATTAGTAATTGTTTTACATGCATTTCCCCAGACTTCTATACAATAAATCAAATGTGGAACAATTATTGCATTATATAATATAAATAGTGCTTTATCATTAAATAACTCCTTAACTTTATACAGTACTGCAATAGATTTTAACATTTTTGTTCTTAAGTAATTTATATGAGGTTTCCATGTCAGTACCTTCCATATAACTGCCGTYATTTTCAAAATTAAATCACCACAGTTGCTGCGTATGGGTCTATTTCCTTTTTACATTGAGTTTTAATTATTTGATCTTTTTCCACTATGCATTCATTACCAGTATATTTGTAGCAAAGGCTTTCACTTTCTGTTGGCAACAACTATCTCAGGATCAAATAAGCAAGTGAGCAGTTAATTAGGTTGTAAATTTCCAAATCTTTATTAAATCTGAATTCATTTAAGTTTTAATTGACTTTGGTTACAATTCATTTTTGGTAATAACTCTTTGTTGCACCCCTTTTTTTATCATTCCACTTTTTTATCAGTAGAAATATTTATTTCCCCATTTGTTGTCTTTTCACAGTGTCTTTGAGCAATTTAAAAAAAACACGTGGCTCTAACATCTCCGTCCTTTCAGGAAAGAGAAAACAGAATTATTGTTTATGAAGCTTTTTCAAATTCTACATTTTAAAGATCAGACAAGTAAAATATTCTAAAGATGATGCCTCTGATGTCCCAGCAGAAACAAAAGTCTACATGCATGTTTAAAAAAATACAATAACACCACCTAAAACCCCCGTCAGGTCTCCTCGGGTCACATTTATCTACCAGCTCTTCACGCCTCGCTTCATATCATGCCGTCTCTGAGGACTTAAAGCCAAATTAGGTTCAGCTTTTGCTTCAGCGCCGTCCGACACTTGGACCTCCGAGGGAAGATGCTGATGGGACGGYCTCAGATGGCCTCTGTCCTCCCACGCAGCGAGGCACGTTACGGAGAGTGAACCGAGACACCTCAATTATAACTTCAAACAAGACTCACATGAGCATCATTGCAGGGTGGAGTTTTGATTGAGGGCATTTTTCTTTACCCGACAGCAAAACATCAAATGTAAACAGATCATAACACTAATTTATTTAGATCTATACTCTTAATTCTTGCTGGTGAAATCTCCATAAACTAAGAATGTAAGTGTGCARTGCCTGGTTAAATAAAAATTAAAGTCTAATTTCACATCTAGTGTTCAAGCTGTCATTTCAGCTTTTTATTATTTTTTTTATTTTTTTACTAAAGAAGTGAGCGAGGCAGTAACTGCTAAGTGCAGAGGCTGATAGCATGATGAGCAGAGGAGGCTCCTCTCCACAGCAACTGTCTGTTTCACTGCTGGCTGCTGGTCTAATTAAAGGTCAGTTAGCTCGCTGGGTGCCAAAACAATATCAACAGATTAAAGGGAAAGGCCACTTAAACACTTCAGAGGTTTGCTAACACTGGGGACACAGGATGCTGCTGTGCTCCTGCTTCCACCAAACAAAGACAAAATCATGCCGGTTTTCAGAAAAAAACCGAGATGGCTCCTGTTTAATCAAAGTTGTTTTCTTTTTGAGCCACTTTGTGTTACGTTTGTCGATGTAAARGCGTTTGTTTTTCTCTTCAGTGAGCATGACTTGGGCGAGGACGACATCTACGACTGCGTGCCGTGTGACGACGACGGAGATGACATCTATGAGGACATCATTAAGGTGGAAGTACGACAACCCATGGTGAGACCTGTGTACCGAAGCATCCATTTCTGATTATGCCATTGTCTCAGCCATAATCCAGATTACAAATCGTCTGCTTGTGTGTGTATCACTGAAGCATGGGTCGTTTTCTGTGGAGCATCATCTTTTTTTTTTCTACACTGAAAATATTAGACAGCAGGGATAAATTAGACAAAATTTAAAATAAACCAGCCTTTAATTATAGGTATTTACATTTTGATCTTAAAAAATGGTAGAAAATTACACTTTTGTATAAAACTGACCATATTTTAGGTAGGCAAATATAAGTTTTGACAAATATTTTTGGTTGCTGAGCCAGAATTTCCATCAAATAAACACCAAAAAATGTAAAAAAAATAAAAGATTTTAACTGTCCAAGTCAAGTTCCATTAATGTGATTTTCCTGACAAGGCTGAGTTTCAAAAAAGAAACCAATCAAACATCACCTGAATAAAGCTGTGGTTAAAACATTAAGAATATATCTATATATAATTTTGTGTTGGTTGCAGATTTTATGAGCTTGTTTGAACTTTTGAGGCCATTGAAGCTAACCTTGATAAACTAGAAACACACAACTAAAATCTAAAACTAGACTTGATTAATTCAAATACTTAGTGAAGATTTACAAGAAATGTTTTTGAAATAGCTTTTTATTATCATTAACTTTTATTATCAAATCAAGAATACAGAACAGAAATTATTTAGCCGCTCATTCTGTCAGATTTTTGATCTAAAATCTTTTTTTTTTTTTGCATGATTTCATTTTTTTACCACGTGGGTTTGAATTAGTTATTGCATTGTGAAACTGCAATAAACTAAAAGTGCTTGAAGAATCATCGCTTTCCATTGTGTTTATGGTCTACATTATCTGTTTTATGCAACATTCACATGAACGCGCCTCCATTGAGAGTTTATTTTCTTGACTGCTGTTAAATTTCTCACTTGCTTTGCCCTCATGCTGCAGATCAGATACATGCAGGTGAGTGCTGGCTGCTGTGTTTGTGCCTCGCAACACAACTTCCCTCATCGCTTCATTTCAAACACTGCCACTTAGGTCGATGACCCATGCATGGTGGCAGCAGAGACCCCATCTGGTTCAAAGTGTGACTCATGGCCCGTGACTTCAGCTCCATGACTGTGGTGTTAAGTGATGTCAGTGAGCGCCACCATCTGCTGCAACAAACTCAGTTGTGTTGGCTTCGTGCTCCACTTCTTGTTTTGTTCTTCATTAATAACATGCTGGAGTAAAGCCTGAACGAGACTTKCAGCTTTTACATTGTTTGCGCCAGTTTTTGTTTTATCCACCCTTGAGCCAAATCTGCTACAGATGGCTGAATTACTGATTCTTTAGTTCAGATGCTTTGATATGTGTCACAACATGTACAATATATGGTCCAATTAAATGCTATTATACCCTAAGGTGCTGTTTGTTTTCAAAAGAGTGTTTTACCAACAGGAAGCGCCTCTTTGTGGAAGTACTCTCAAAAAACAAATATAATGGATTTAGTTTAAAGTTTTGTCAACTGGTTCCACTCAACTTTACTTTACGTTTACTTAAGATAATTCCTTTACTATACATTTACTTAAGGTAACATATTCACTTTATGTTACCTTTACATTAGCTTAAGATCACATGTTTACTTTATGCTTACTTTATATTTACTTAAGGTGATTTGTTTACTTTACATTTACTTAAGGTAACATTTACTATATTATTACTTTACACACATTTTTTAATATTTACTATACATTTACTTTACGTAAACATTTACTTAATGTTTACATTAAATTTACTTAGGTAACACATTTACTTTTTTTACTTTACATTTCCCTAAGATAACATTTGCTTTTTATTTACTTAAGATAACACATTTGCTTTATGTTTACTTAATATTTACTTAAGGTACCACACTTACTTTACATTTACTTAAGGTAC